CCCCCCCCCCCCACCCTACTTACAGAAGTTAGGCAAAAGGACTTCCGAAAGCGTCCTTATATACATCAGGAGATGTGGGTTGAGGAAGAGCCACCTATGGAGATACAACCAACCGGTCAGTAACTATCATTACAGTTATAAAAAAAAATCTATCCTTAAGACTTCTCTAATTTCTTTAAAAAAATCATTTAAGTCCCAGAAGGGTCTACAATGATTTGTGTTCACCAGCTTGTAACTGGTGGTGTGTATTTATTATTTCCATCAAAACCAAGATTCAGGTCAATTATGTTTGCCTCCCCAGGATGGGAAGTATTTTTTTTAATGAGCTAAAGAATCAAGGCTGGGAAATCATGAACTTAAATCTTTGACAGATTTTTTTAAAAAGATAGTATTTCAATTCGATTTTCTCCCCAAATGCTTTCATGAGCCAGGTTCAGTGATTTACAAAGGGCTTTTTCAATATGACATTCATTTTTTTTAAGTTCCAAATAGTCGTCCCTGCAAAAATCACCTTTCCCCAGTTTGAGCTGATGTTTACTGTGCTGGTTCCCAATGATGAACCTTATTCAAACGTCCTTTACTGGCAAAGAGTTGTTACAGCTACAAGCAAGGTTAACTGGGAGGCAGTAGCTCTATGTGGCACACACTTTGGTTGGTAGCAACAGCTTGCAGCACTTGATACTTACAGAGGCTTGTGACGAACTGAAAGAATTTTTAGAGAAAGGGTTCTCAAATGCATTGTCAGAAGATTTGGTAACTGGCGGGGCACCTTGTCTGGGAGCTGGCTTTGGTGGTTCTAGAAGGTGAAAAACCCAAGTCGTCAGTAGACAAACTTTCCCCAAATATAGACAGAAGTCCCCAGTCAGGCTCATATTAGAAAGTAAGTTCCAGACTTTAGAAATTTACATCAATGGAACAAAATTACCACCAAATAGTAGGACTAGCAATGATTACGGGCAAGTTCATCTCTCCTCAGAAGAAGACGCCATGCATATTTATTTCCTTGAAGTGGAAGAGATTCGGAATTCCCTCGCTGAAGGCCAGGGAGCCTGGTTCAGACTATTGTATAGCCCTCCAGGTGCCAGGGCCCTACTGAATGCCAACAGCCCTTGGCAACCCTTTTAAGATTTGTCACTAGAGGGCAGCATAGGGCCAGACCTTAGAAGGAGCTAAGGTGAACAGTTAGCTTCATAAGGTAAATGCGTAAGTTGTCTCCATAACCACTGATTACAAAAAAACAGCAAGAGTTAGGCTACTGGTGGGTAGGAGAGGGTTCTTCTGAGGGACTCTGTGGGCCCACATGGCAGCAGAAATACTTGTATAGTAGATGGAGAAGCGGGTAGCTTACCGTTGATCTTTTTCAACAGTTGATTCGCATCGAAGTCATCATGGTCTGCATTCTCTTGCGGGATGCCCACTTTGCTGTTGAAATAACTGGAGAAGGCACTCGAAGTCCCGGAGGAAGTCTGGTCTCCCTTCCTCGCGGGCACGACCGGAGGCTGCCGCAGCTGTAAGTCCTTAAACATTTCTTTCACTTCCTTGACTTCTTTATCCCCGAGTGGGTCCAAGGCAACGAAGGCATCGGTGGGGATGTCCTTTGGGGGGCCAGTTCTGGGAGGTGGTTGAGGGGGAGTGACCAGGAGAGAGGACAGCATAGGAGGGGGCTGGGCAGACACAGCAGGAGCTGGAAAAATATTGCTCTGAAAAGGGTTCCCCAAAGGACTTGTTGATGACCAAGTGTTGGGTGACACAGAGGCTGATGGGCCCCAAACAACAGGGGTTGGAGGGGGACTTGAGGCTGCAAAGGATGAAGGCTGGTTCCAACCTGCAACCGCTGGGCTTGTGGTAAACACCATTGGCTGACCGAATCCTGCAGGCTGACCACCCATCATGGCTCCTGGGACCATGGAAGGGGGCTGGTTGAACACTAGAGATGGTGGGCTCCATGGTCCTGCCTGAGGGGGGGTGATTGGTACACCACCTGAAGGAAGTGAGAGAAAGGACTTACCAGGAGACAAGCTGGAAGAGGAGTTTTGAGTTTCAGAAAACACAACTCTCCAGGAAGCATTTATAAAGCATCTACTTGGCCAAGGCCTTCAGCCTTGAGGCTGACATGGAAACGAAGGCTTGATTCACCTGAAGACCAACTAGCTCACACAGTACAGCCGGCATCCAAATGCAGGTGACACTTAGGAGCTTTCTTTCTACCACACATCTTTACCTCATGCAAAGGGTAATACAGTCCATAAGTGCCTACTCATGAAAAAACAGGCCCTTATCCTACATACACTGATGTATTTTCAACAGCTGAGCCCATCGATACGATTAACTTATTTGTTGAGTGTATACATTTACATATACAGACCATGCTGCTTATGAAGTAGTTAATTAAGATAATCCATGGGGTACAATGAGTCATTGACTCCATCTTTTCATTTGGCAGCTGGCTCCTGTCTGGGTCTTATGGAAACCAGCTATCATGCATGTGCTTGAGGCCTCAACATGCTTGTGTCCTGAGGAAACCATTTCAGAGTTGCCTTGCTTTTAAATGCTGCCAAGGTTGATACAGCCTATAAAAGGGTGATAAAACTTGGCTGGTGCCACGATAGTTTTCGATTTTTCTATATAAATACGGAGGAGAGGCTGGTTATCCTGGGGGAGCTGTTTCAAATAAAAGTACTTCCTGCCATGTGTCACTCACGAAACTTTGCCAGAAGTTAGAACAGAGTATTCAAAAGAGGAGGGGAGGGAGAGAAGACCCCGTGAAGCAAAACCACTTCCCAAGTAACTAATGGCCTGTGTCTGGGGATCTGATCTCCGTGGGGAATGACCCCATGGCCTGCATCCCTGCCACGTTGATTAGGAATTAGTGAAACCACTAAAATTCAGGTCTCTCCAATATCTGTCCCCCTCTTCTTGAGAAGCTCATTCCCTACATCTTGTTCACATACGTAGGGCATTTTCTCTCCTGCCTCTTCCCAAGTGTATTGATGACCCAGTTAAACTGTCACCACTAACAGATCTATTCATGAATGATGCTCCACTCTCGAAACCTACTTGCTCTAAGCGTTGGAGCACAGCATTCTTTCATTATGAAAGTGTCCTAACCAAACTGAGGCTCTCAAACTTGGGTTAGGAAGGTTTTTGTTTCCAGAGTGAAAAATGTTTTGAAAATGGTATTCAGGGGTTTATGTAGCAAGATATTCTATCTTGAATTTCCCTAGTGTTGGAGATTGGTGGTACTTGACTTAATTCTATCAACATGAACACTAGCCATCTGCCATGGACACAGATGGTATGCTCATGGAGAGCGGTGGGTTTCAGGAAAGGTCATCTTACTAAGTTAACATGCTTATTTTTGAGGTGAGGAAACTGGGTACAAGAATATTAATTACTAAAATTGGGACAGTCACAGTTTGTGACAGTAGAGACTAAAACTCAGGCATAATGGCTCCTCACTCAGCAGCTGATCCTCCTGTTCTGCCTCTTGGGCATCAAAAGGCAGGACTAATTTTTTTTTTTTAATGGAATGTTAATTCAAATACTTATTTTATCGATATAGTTTTAGATTTCATTTACACTAAAGTATATACATATTCCTTTCACAACTAACCGAAGGGAAAGTTCTCTTACATTGTATAATACAGGCTTGTACAAGTGAGTTGAATTTGAACAAAGTTATCTCTAGCATGTTAACAAATTATTTAAATTTTATTAACTGAACCCAGAGTCACCAATAATTTACATCAGTTGGATGTGAAAATTGGGTAGAATTTTATCACCTTTCATGTTGCGTGACTTGCCTTCCCTTTGGAAAGTATGTGGCTTTAGACATAGATGTTATTAGTGGGAGTGGTGGGAAAAGAGAAAAATATGAAATTTGCCAGGAAAAAAAGACTTTCCCAGTATATACTTATGCCAGCCTTCATTCCCATCTACCAGATTCCATGCATTGTGTTTCTAAGATATTTAAGGCTCCACTGGAAAAAGTAGAGGCAAGAGGTAAAAAAAAATGAGTTTTGGTAAAAAAGTTAATTTTATTACCTTCTGATGCTTGATGCAAACACAGGGTAGCCAGTCAAAGCTGAAGGCTCAGCTTTTTACGATCCCCTTTCCCCAACCCCAGCTCTCCAGAGGAGAGAGTCCCCCAGCTGGGTCCAGCGGAAGCCGGACCTCCAACCTTCCAGGGTTTGGCTGAGGATCCCTGCGAGTGGACGGGGCTATACTGTAGAGCTCAGTTTGAGTCCCATGTCCAAACTTGGAAGAATCATCAGTATTCTGCAGTTGTATACCCCAAGGCCTCCACAGGGGCACCTCGCCAAAAAGCTTCACTTCGTCTGAATAAATTAACAGTTATAGGGTCCAGCTGTATTTTCAGGCTGACTTGCTAAATATTGGCTGTAAAAATTCTTCGGGGCATGCTATTAGACTACAAAGCTCCGTGATGGGATCTGGTCTCAGGCACTGCCTGCAAGCTCACTACTCTTCTGCAAGGAAAAGTATCAACCGGCTCCACTTGGAGGTGCAGGGAAAAGAGAGATGCGGAGAGGGGGGCGCCCCCAAGAGACATAAAGAGCTCAGGGACAGTCTCTTGAGGGTCCCAATGCAAGCAGAGCCCTGGGACAAGCTGGCGTCTCACCTCCACATGGATTTCAGCTGTTTGGCAGTTGGGTAACAACTCTCCTTTTGCTACCATACTCCAGATAAGATTAAACAGATTTAACAGGACAGAGCCACAGTATGTTCCTTTGCAGGAAAATAGCAGACAGAAAAAACAAAACAGGTTCCTGAGGACTGACTCTGCAGGAGGCAGAGAAAGATCCCTGATCAACTTTTACAAAGTGATGGAGGGAGCCACTCTCCACTACCTCCCAGGTCAAAGTCTATTTGGAGCCCTTAGTGGTGCCAAGAAGCAGAAACACAAAGAGAATCCCCAGCAGGACTGCACCACGGAGGCAGAAAGGAACTAGAGGCTGTGGGTGAAGTGGAGCAGGGCTAGCCCTCAGCCACGTGGCCTTCCCCAGTGTCCTGCCACAGAGTGGCTCAGTGGCTCACATGAGACTAATGACACATTTATGAGTGACAGCACCAGCACATCCTAGTTATCTGATAAAGTCCTACCTCTCCCCTTATCTCTGTGCTTTTTCAGCTTTAGGTTTTCATTATTTATCTTCTTATTCTATTAAGACACTCAGCCAGCCAAGACATTGGCAAGGAGCTGCTAAGGCTTAAGTATGCAAAGACGGATAGAATATATGCCTGTCCCTCACTCACCGGGTGCGTAGGGACGGAGCTGGGCTCAGAACCTAGGACTTTCATTCTATGACTTACACTTGCTTCAGACTTTACTTACATCTCTCTCAGGGTACATATCCTTTCCGAGAGGGATATCAGTTTAATAGGGGATAGGGCTTAGATCCAGTAATGGCAACTTACATGGAAGACATGCATATTGTTAATTTTCCAATACAGACTCCATCATCTTAGCCCCATGTCTCCAATGAAGCTGGTCTGAGCTTCAGAACCCCTCATCTTTGTCTTTACTAAGCCATTACCAGTTGGTTCAAATAAGTGCAATACTGAAAATGTATTTCTTCCCACATTCCACCTCAGGGCACCAAATTTCATTTACATTCAAGGGTACCAGATGGGAGTGAGGTTGTACAGAAGTAAGAGTGGGAGAAAGACTCCCTAGGAAGCTCCAGTTTTATGCCCTCGAAACCTCTATGGACATGAAGTGCCTTCCTCCTATGCACTGTGGTCCCAGAGGTGAAAGTAACCGAGCCAAACCTGACTCGGTCTCGGGCCCTTACCTAGTCCTGCGAGGGGTCCCACTGGGGCAGAAGCGCTGGTCTTGAAGAGATCCAGAGGATTGGTCTGTGGGGCTGCAGACTGTCCCGTAGGTGACGTCTGGCCTGGAGCTTCTGAGTCCGGAGGAGCAAAGATGTCTGATGTGAGCAAGTCATTTGCTGGAGACTGACAGGGCAGAGGCGGACATGAAGGAGTTACTCAGCAGGAGAGAAAGGCAGCTTCATTCAGTCCCCTACTCTGTGCCTCAAATTCGGGAGCCACATGAGGAGAAACTTTTCCCATTACTGACGGGCTACTACAGAAAACCAGCCAACCAACCGAAACAAAAAAAGACAAGGGTCCCCGCCATGGGCAGAATGTTGGGCCTGGGCTCTCAAAGCGAAATCTAATTTACTTATTTACACACTCGTGCCTCACCGATCTCCTTATCAGCTGGAAGCTTGAAGCTGGGAAGGGACAACTAGAAATAAGGAGCATCAATGCTTTTGATCAATCTGGTGGATCGGAATCAGTCTGCATAACACTGACGCAGTAGTCTAGTCATTAGGCCAGCCTACATATTCCAATAAGATATAAAAAAATACTGAAGGCACATTTTAAATCGCTTTTGAGTGAAGTGGTAATAGAACAGACATGTTTCTTTTAAGACGATGGATTCTTCAGTCAACTTTCACTAGAGGAGACAAACTCCAGAATTTTACACCACCACCGTGGTCAGCAACGCCATGTGAGGGGGGTGCGGGCACGCTAGTGGGGGAAGGTACGTATCAGGGGATCACAGGAGCCCTCGCCCTCCGCTCCCAGAACGTGACCGTCAAACTTACCAGAGGGACAGAAGCAAGCAGCATTAAAAATGAAAAAAACTCGTGTTTAGTTAATAACAAGAGACAAGACGTGCAAACGGAAAGCAGGGCGTGGCAAACACCGCCGAGCGAGAAGCTTTGAAAGGGTGGCGATTAGAGGAAGGGATTCCTGGGGGACCACGAGCCTCACCCCCCTTCTAGTTTAGGGCCACACCGGACACTACAATAGCAGCAGCAAGACAGCTGGCATCGCACCACCCTGGGACAGCGAGCATGCATCCCGCCAGCGGCCACGCGTCAGACGATTCACCTTCGCTGTCCTTCTGCCTCGTCCCGGTTTGGTACTTTGTGGAGGTGGGATAATGGCTATGGAGTCATGTGGGGGGGACTGGACAGAGCTTTCCAGGTCCTGCTTGACGCCATTTGGCACGGGCGGTCCTTTGGGAAGGCCTCCCACAAAGGGGTTCGGGGAGGGTTTCACATGGAAGCCGTTCTGTTCTCTTTCAGACACCCCGTTCTGAGTTCTCACTGCTGCCTGGGTTTGTGCGCTCGAGAGGGGCCACGGGTCTGCCTGAGCCTCCTGTTTGCCAGTCCGGTTAGAGATCTGGTCAAACTGCTGACCAAAGTAATCAACATCCCCATTGAGGGGCCCGTTACTCAGCGGCGCAGGCAAGCCACTCAAATTCTCTGTCTTCTGATCTGGAGATTTAGCAGAATCAAACGAAGAGGGTGGTGATTGGTCTTGCTGTGCGAAAGGATCATCGCGGAAAGGATCGGGATTAGGGGTGGGAAAGAAATTGAGATTGGCAGAGAAGGCATTTTCGGGCAAGAAAGATGCCTGAGGCTTTGGTCGAGGAAGAGAGGAGGAGGTGATGCCGTTTGTTAGGAATGAATTTTCTCTTAAAGGGTTCTGATTGGTGTTGATTTCAGAGTTTAGATCCACTAACAGGATATCTTTGCTTTCCTATCACATTTGGAAAGAAAAAAAAAAAGAGAGAGAGTGTTAGTCCATGTTGTGACTTCAAATGAGAAAGCTACACCAGATGACCAGGATTATCAGAATTCCCGTTGGATTTTGACCTTGACAAACCGTTGACCATGACCTCCTCCCACCACCTCGGTGAGTGCACTTATCAGCTGAAGAGCTCCTCCCCTAACCCATGCCCACTTATTTACATCTCAACTTCACTGTTCCCCTATTAAATGAAACCTTACTGTTGTTTACTCATGTCACCGCTCACCCTTACAGACCAGCTGAGTTCATGATCGGCGTCTCAATTCAAGTGTCTGAAAATCTTAAAGGGAATTTAATTGACTGTGAGTCACTCCGAGTGATTATCTAAGTATAAGGGCTTGAAAGTAAACTAGATCTCAGAAGTGTCACCCAGCTTCTTACCTGATGTCCAGTCTGTACTATACCCCAGTCATGCGACATCACCTCTAAATGGGCGAATTTACTGGCTAATACATTCATTTTTTACAGTTCTGGATGTAATAAAGTTTAAGGTCAAGTATATCTCCCTATAATCGGTCTTTCCTTCGCAGGAGGTTCCCCTCACATCACAGCCTGTCAGGTATGCCTTTTTAAATATTTAAGGATCTTTTTGAAAGTGCTAGTCAAGTTAGACCTGTCATATCTTCATCTTCGTCTCTCCTCTGAACATGCCCTTTGTCTATGTCTCTCTAAGAAAGCGATACTCAAAATAGTGATATACTCTAACATATCACGTTAACCTCTCGTATTTGTGCATTTTTTATAATATAGCTTAAGAGTTGTCTGTGTTGTAACAGTAATCTCATCTATATAGTGGATAAATTCAACAAATCTTTAATTTATCTTTAATTTATGTATAATCTAATCTTTAAAATATGTATAAGGTGGAGATGTGGATTTAAGAGCTAATTCGAAAGACACACCAAATGCATAACTACAAATTCTATTCCTTATCATTTTCTGGTATGTTAATTATTTGGGTTCTCAGTTGTTAGATAAGACATCCCTGTCAGCACAAAAGCAGCCCCTTTGATCAATCTGGCAAGTCTTTATACCTAATTAGGATATACCAGGGATGGAGCTGTCACACTGAATGACCTTCCTCCTGACTGACTGATTCATTAAATACTTAACTATGCTAACCATAGAGAAATATGAACAATATAACACCTATGACATGGAAATTGGAATTCAAGCATTACCCTGAAGAGATCATTAAATATTTTGATCCTTGAGTCAAAAACAACATTAAGGGAATATAAAATTCTCAAATGTAAAACGGAGGCCTGAATAGGCCTCTTTGGTTTTTAAGAGGAAAGAACACATTTTTAGAAAGTTAAAGCCCTCTCTCTCCCCCTCCACCCCCTCTCCCCCTTATATATGCACAACCCGAGGACACGGACAATGGTGGGGAGAGTGACTGGGGAGGGGGAAGGAACGGGGGGGAAAGGGTCATTGGGGAGAAAAAGGGACATCTGTAATACTTTAAACAAAAATAAAAATTATAAAAAAAAAGAGAAAAAAAAAAAAGTGAAAGCCCTAAATCAGACCTAATTGGTATTCTATCTTCTGGCTTCCTTTACTATTAGTTATAAAACACAATTTTTAAAAACCAGCTTTTATTTTTATAACCAGAAGAATCTGTCAGAAGAAAGAACTTGTCATTAAAAAAAATTTTTTTAATCAAAGAAATAGATTGGAAGACTAATGCAGGGATCTTTAACAATCAAAAAGTATGAAAAAAATGTATTACGAAAGCTTGTGATTTCAATATTTATTCGTTTATTATGAGCCACCTCTGGTTAGAACAGTTGGGTATTCACAGCTGGCAGAGTTCTCCTTTTCAAAGATTTCAGAAGAAGTTCTTAGGACACCAAACAGGAGCCACAATGTTAGACTTCTGAATAGTCACCCTATAAGTAAAATGTATAAGGCTCTCCTCAGGGCAGGTCTGAATTAACTGCTATTAATTCCAGATTAAGAGTCTAGTTCATAGGCTATAAATGGAAGATGCGAGACTTCTCATCCACCCCCTAAGTCAGAGCTTCATGAATTCTTTGTTGGACGGCAATACTGCACCCATCGGCCATCGCTGGAGGACCTGGGAGAGAAGCACTGGCGACACGGGAGTGAAATGCAGTCCCTGCTCTTAAGGAGCTCCAGTAAGAGGGACGCCAGGCAACCAAAGGGGTGTCTGAACAGAGACAAGGTTTTCAATACTGAGTTCCACAGCCCAGCTCTTCTCCAGGTAGCCATATCACCTAAGCATCCCAGCCTGCCAAATCCTGGACTTCCCTAACCAAAGCTTTTGGTGTCTTCCTGCTATTCCCTGTATTAAAATAAGCTTCATTAGCCAAACTTTCAGAATGACCCACAAGGGGACTCAGTTTACTTTTAGCCTAATTACTCTCTATTTTCCTACACTCTTCAAAGACCCAACTCAAGTTCATATCATTTACAAAATCTTTTCCCATAGATCTATTTCAGCTTCACCTTTGCCCACCCACAGCATCTTACTTAACACTGTGCCCTGATCCCATCCCTGCACCAGATTTAACCCCCTTGGTGGAGGACCATGTCTCATGTTCTTCTCATAAAACACTGCTTTTGAATGGTTAACATTTTCAAGGTCGAGCATGTCTTTCTTTCCCTTGTGGTTGTTTTTTTTTTGAGACCAGTATGGAAGAATATTGTTCAAGCAGTTTTCCAATAAAAATTACGTTCTAAGGAATGCTACTTAGTTTGCAACATGAGCTTCATTTGAAATGCATAAAACTATTCTGTAGAAATGTTGGGGGAGTGGCAGAGCATGACTATAAAGTCTAAGTAATTTAGATTTCTTCCTCTCTTCATCTCTTCCAGTGCAACTACTGTAAGATTTGAATATTTTAAAACATGCTGGTTTTATCTAGCAGAGATAAATCTATTTTGTGACCTATGAGTATAAACTCAGTCTGTAAGAACACGCTGGCAGTCTGACCAGCACACCATTAGCGCTGTTAGGATTTTCTTACTTATCAGATACCATCTACTTTGATGGTATTTATTCCTTTAATTCACTGTTAGTTTAACTAAAACCTGAATTTTATTTCCATAAACCAAAAATTCATAGAAGGCATGAAGTCTAATATCAACAAGACTCAGGACTACTCATGCTGCTTTTCGTTTCCTTTTTCAGAACTTTCTAGAAGGCTACAGAAGCAGACAAAGCAGTCGCTGCTTCCTTGCCTCTCCCATGGCAACTCTACTTCATAGCTTGAGTGCTTTGATCTCTTTCAATAACCTTGTGTGAATGCCAGTTATACTTAGAAAGGACATCATTCTGACATCAGTTTACTTTGGGCATCGGATGGAGGGGGGGGGTCAAGTTGCCTTGGAGCCAGAAGGGCTTCAGAGCTGGAATGGACCTTCCAGGGCTGTCTAATCCAGTATTTCACAAAGTTGATCCTTAGAATGGTAACAGACGTGAAGAATGAAAGGGTTCTAGTGACGAGTGAGTTAGGAATCACTTCCTAGAAGAATAGGAGACAGGTTTCTCTATCGCAGGCTTTTTAGGGCCTCTATAGCACTGTGACGCAGTGTGGATCTCATGGGGTTTGGGGTGAGAAGAGCGTACGCGGCCCCTGCCTATAACGCTGTGACACAGTGTGAATCTCATAGGGCTGGGGGTGAGAAGAGTGTATGAAGGGCCTGCTCCTTCTCATCTCCTGGGCTTGAGCATTTTAGGTGAAATTTCACAGGCCTGGCATTCTCTGCAATACTCTGGGGTCAGTGAGACTTACCAGGTCCTCCATCTGCTGTGGCGTTAATTCTAATGACCTTTGTGGCTTGCTTGACAATTCCCTGATATAAAAGACTTCTAGATAGATACTGATGCCCTTTTTATCTGGTTATTGATGTCTCATCTTTTATGTTCAAGTCCAGAAACTCACTCAGAGCTGTTAGCTGACCCTCTAAAACTAGATAAACACCCTATAATTAACATCCACTTGTAAGCTTTATAATTGGCTTTAATGTCAGTCTGCCTGCTAGATAGTACACTTCATGATGCCAGTGACATTGTGCATCTCACTGCTGTGCCCGGCAAATAGCAGGTACTCAAGAAACTTAAATAATAGAAATTGTAAGAAGCCATTCAAAATCACATGGGTGATTTCACTAGAGGCCTGTTTTGGAAGGTCTGAGTCTTGGGTTTTAGTGCTGACTTTGAACCTCTTTCTTGGGTAAATGAGTTTTCTCCTGAATCACCATTTTCTTATCTGTATTGAAAATATTGCTCTACTCTCACAGAGTTGTTATGGATCAATCAATATTAAGATTTGAAACACTATAATATCCTGTAAAAAATGAGAAACTTTAAAAACATAACTGAGCCTCTTATTTAAGTCTTACTTTACACCAAGCTTATGTTAAATCACAAAGAAAGAATAAAAAATAAATGGAGAGGCCAGGAGGCTTTACAATTCATCATCTAACAAACATACTCCCTTCAAGTAGGCTTATGCCAAGAATTACTATCCAGCTCCTCCTTCTGATCCTAGGTAATACCAAGAAGGGCTACATTGCCTGACCTATTGCTCAGACTTAACCTCTAAGTACTATTAATATATCTGAATTAGTGCTGGTAGGTTTCCATGGTGATTTAAGATGCAAATTTGTTCTAGTAGCCATTTAGCCATTTACACTTTATGCAGAAAAATCAGCTGACACCTTCCGAGTTTCAATGAGATGCTCAAGATTTCTGGTTAGTTGCCAATTTGAGTCATAGATGTCATTTCCATTACATTGCAAATTTAAAAACAGACACTTACTGTTGGACTATTTAGGTCAGGAGGTGTAGACATGTCCCCAAACAAATCCATCCGGTCAACAGCCTTAAAAAAGTATTTGGATTAGATTCAGATGTGTCTACTCAAAAAGATTCCTTTGTATATTGTCATAATGGTTTCCTAAACTAAAGTCGAGGAAAATAGCTGTCATGATTGGATTTTCATTTAACTAATACAGATCTGATATTGGGATATTTAGGTCAGGAAGTGTAGACAGGTACCCAAACAAACCCATCTGGTCCAAACTCTTTTAAAAAGTATTTGGATTAGATTCAGATGTGTTTACTAAAAAGATTGCTTTGTGTACTGACATCAAGTGTTATACTAATGTTTAGGGAAATAGATGTTGCAATTGGATTTTCAAATAGATTCTGCGTTTGCAACTTTTATAGGAAGTAAAACCCATGTTCAGGTAAGAAAGAATCATAAAGAGTCACATACGTACCAATTTCAGTTTGTTAGTTTGGTCATCAAGAGTCATTAGGGCCTCGCCTCCATTCTGAAAAGATGGCAAATATTTAAGGGTTTAGTTGGCAAGTTTGAATTTCCTAGTGTACTGGCTTGCTAAGCGGTTATAATTTTGGCACTGATCATTCAACTGTACATCTTCTTTGACCAGAAGGGTCATGAACACAGAGCAATAAGCCAGAAAGGGAGCATGCTGGGCAGGTAGCAAACAAGGGCTTATACACATTACACATGCACAATTCACAAGAAGAGAAGATGCAGTTTTACCTCTACTGCATTGTTGGCTTCTTCCATCTACGAAGAAAGACACAAATTCAGTGATCGTAGTAATTATAGTAAAAGGAAGGTAAATAAAAGAACAGATATACCTATGGGTTCACGGGCGTAAGCAAGAGAGACTCCTGTCTGCCTGACGGCCCCTTCCCCTTTTCCCATTAATACTGGATTGGAAAAGAGGTACTGGACTTCAACTTGGTAGTTCTATCTAGTCTTTAGAATCAGTGTGAAGCTTGTAGGGAGAAAAGACAGGAGTCAGGGGCGGGAAATCAGAAGTGCCTAAGGAGAGCATCCACCCATTGCCTGCTGGGAAGAGCAGACAACACATTTCTCTCCTTCCCATGCTTTGGAGATTCCCCGTGGAAGCCAACTCTCCAGAGAGGCCATATGTTCACATAATGTTCAAATAAGGTCCCGAATACTGTTGTAAGTTTAATAGAATCCATATTGGGGAGTACTTGCCTTTTTCTTTTCTTCCTCCTTTTTCTTAACGTTGTAGATAACTTGAAAAAGGTCTTTAAGATCAATGACTAATGGCTCAGCCTGAAACAAGAGAAAGCATCTGTATCAGTATTTTAATCTTACTATTTTCCTCCCTTTGTCTCCCAACAGTTCTGTTTTCTTCCTTTCGCTTAAAGCTCCTTACTACCCTCCCCTGTTTTATGGGGAATCACCACCATCCCCATCCCACCTCTAGATGCAGAAAAGACAGAGCACCATGATAATTTTCCAAGACCCTTTAGCATTTCTAGGAATAATTCCCTATTATTCCAAAATCAGCACTGACCTTATGAGAAAGCCCATTCTAATAATCCTTATGCCACTCACTTCACAGGAATCAATGACATTTTAAAAAAGATTCCTTAGACCAATAAAGACAGTCATCCTTTGAATCATTGTTGATACCTCCTCCTGTCTCCAGTTGCTTCTAGAAAGCTCTCTAGTTGAGTGACAGACACCCCTACGCTCCACCGAGGACAAGTCCCCCTCCAGGTATACCTCAAGGCTTAGTGCTTACCTGTTGCCCTGTTTTTATGGCAAAAAACTGATGCTGGCCTTCAGCTCCACACACATAACCAAATGCGCGGTTGTCTGTCACATCACGGGCAATGAAAGAAATCTTATTTACTGGATGTTCGTGCTCTATCACCTGAAAAAGGAACAGAAAAAGAAAATGATTTACTGGGAAAACTAGAATCTATTCGTAGGCTAGCACAACTGAGCACCAGATATATGAAAAGGCTAAAACATTCAAAGAAAAACATTTTCACCTCTAGTTGAAGGCTGGAGTTACATTTATCCCTGTCAGGAAGGGCTCGAAAAGGAACAAAGGGTAGAAAACAAAAATGGGGACAATGCTCCTCCTGGAAATATTAATACTTCCGTCTTTCTACCCCAAACATGCGATGCCTCATAGCAAGGAAGGACTGAGGGTTGGGAGACCAAGAAGTTCTAAAGTGAAGATGGGGCATACAGTCTATTCCGAGTAGGTGTGCTTTCCCAACTCAGACAAACTCAGGTGAACTCAGCTAGTGGAGCGTTCACAGGGTTCCTCTGACAATGGCTCAGAGTGGCCGGGAAACAATTCCCTAAGTACTGGGACAATTATCCCCAGTACATTCTGGAAGTTACCCAATGCTATCCTCAAGTATTTCTTAGCCGCACTTAGATATCCATGTCATTACCCAGGAGTTACATGTGGCAGGGTTAGTAGTGCCCCCCCCTATTCCCTTGCCCCCTTCTCTTGGCTCAAGTCTTCAGGGATATTTGTAGGTGGTTAGAATGTGTCTTGGCTTTTGTTTCCAAACTCCTAAGGCCACTGATAAATTCATACTGGGTATCTTAGAAGAGTTGGGGAGTGAGAGAAACTTGCTACCATTCTCTGCTGGGCTTGAGGATAGGACCTGAGAGATGAGGGAGAATGGAGGCAGCAGCGCATGGGACCAGCAGGTGAGTAAGCATGTCCCAGGGTCCCAGGGCCCTAAGTCTGGTCAGTGGATTTTGCATATTAGATAAAAGGTACCTCTAGGAAGGAAGGAATAATAACCGGAGGCCTCCCACAGGACCTTGATACAACTGAGCATCTTACACCAATGAAGATAAACTACAAACATTGCAAGTGGATGAACGTTGAGTAGAGGATGGAAAAAAAAGTCCCAGAAGACTTGAAATTTAATAGTTTTTTTTTGTAAGACTCAAAAACAAGCAAACAAACAAGACTGTTCCTATAGGATAGAAGAACATCATCAACCACGAGAGTGATCAAAGTTCCATCTGTGGGGTGAGGAGGGAAGAAAGAGAGAAGGGAAAAAAGGTAGGTGTGTTACAGGTAATATTCTAGCATTGGGTCAGCAAGTAAGTTTGCACATGATCACTACAGAGGTGGGCAAAAGTAGGTTTGTCGTTGGGAGCACCAGAAAGAGAGTTTATTTTTGTATTATTATTTATTAGTTATTTATTATTAATGTAGTACAACTGTAAACCTATTTCTTCTCACCACTATATATTATAGTGAGATCCATGCATAGACCTATGATAGCATCACAAACCAGGGGTTAGGGTTAGTCTGGTTCTTGTACCTGGGGTCCAGAAGAAGACCCAAGTGATACTGTAGCATACCTGTGTATACAGACTTGACACACCTGTTAGAGGAAATAAATTTCACAATAAAGTACCTTGCCTCATCACCTCCTACCCAGTTTTCCACCTTTATTTTTGGAGAAGTAATATATAACTAATTCCTACAGAATTTTGAAAAGGAAAAAGGGGAGCTAAAATCTAGTTGCAAATTGTTTGTCAAATGCAGGTGATCAGAAGTGTCAGTGAAAGTGGATTCTTACCCCAGTTTTCTCATCAATTATTTTGATCCCAGAAAGGGAAATGTTGACCCAGATCCTTTGCTTGTGTTGTCCCTGAGACCGACCAGCAGCTGCCATGCCCTGATGAGGTTCGGAAAATAAGAAAAATTTAGTTAAAAGTACTCTACGATGCTTCTGATACTAAAAACTTAAAAGACAGCTTTGTTTTTAGCTTAGTTTACCATCTGTGAAAGGCCTAGGCACCGTTCCTAAGAGGGAGCAGGATGGAATAGAAGACATTGAGCCGGAACATCACTAGTTAGCTCTGCAAACTTGGACAAGCCATTCTAATTCTCCTGGCCTCGGAACAGTCACTGGTAAAGACAAGAACAGACTAGAAGATCTCCAACGAGGTTCCTTCTAGGCCTTGTCTTATTTAAAAAGCATTATTTAATTAGTTTCACACAGTGACAGTACTAGAATTCAAAAATTCAGAAAATCAAAGGGCTAACACTAAAGAACACCAGTTTCCAAATAGAGTGCCAACTTTTACCTGATTACCTCCAGGGTTGAAAATTTGACCTGGCCAAAGGGAAAGGCACGTAGAATCCTGCTAAACCAGTACAACACTCAGACTATGCAAAAAAACTCACTACTAAACTACTCATAAACTACTCATAAAATGAGGCACCACTGGATCAATTATGTGATTAGAAAAAATTATCATGCAAGTAATTGAGATATAGGTAAATATGAACTTCTACTATAATTCCCTCTGTTGGACATTTGCTGAAGATAGAGACACAGTGTGCTTTCTGCCTTTTACCTTTAGTTTCATCATAGAATCTTGGCTCATTTTATCTCCTCTTGCGTCTGGCACATCATCGATGCCAATGAGCTTGGCCTTGTATTTTACACCATCACCTTTGAATCTGGCCAAAAGATACTCATCTGTCTTTTCTGAGCCTGAGAAAAGAAAGAGATATAGGATAAAGTTTATAAATGTCCTTGAATATCAGCCCCACATTTCATCAAATATGCTCCAGGATCTCAAATCAGAGTGGTATAAATCTTGATTATACCACGATTGATGAGTGTGCAATATTCTATTCTTATTCTCACCTCCTTTGGCTAAAATTATACTGTGTAATACCGTGTATATGATGTTGGGGTGGGGAGAAAATAAACCCCTAAAGCTGCAAAATGGACTGAACTAGGGGAAGCTTAGGGAAATATGTGAGGTGGGACTTGGGGATATTCATTATAGTTTTAAAGTATTTTTAAAAAGAATATAAGGAGAAGAATGGTTTTGTTTTATAATAAAAGGAAAATAAGGTGCCACACAACACACTAACACTTGGAACCGTAAATTAGGCAGGAGGGAGTTAAGGGTCAATTGCTTTGACAATCATTCCCATCTTTATACCTTCTCCTCTGAGAAGGCCAGCGAGGTTCCACTCCCACGGCTCAAGTGTGGAAGTGAAAACCAAGCACCTCACGCAATATTCTCGCACTAAGAATGAATAAGGACTCCGGCACTTCCCAGTGGTTCTTCAGGTCAAGAGAGAGGGTCTAATAAAACAAAGATCTTGATTTTTTTTTTTTAAAAAACCAGCAAAGTGAAAAATAGGTTACTGCAAGATATTTCATATAATTGGTAGCTGCATTTATCAACTGAACAAGATGGTAGGAGAGCTGCCTGGCAGGACCCGAGTTGGGGTAACCACAGGATTCGGAGACAGGTCTTATATGTGGAGTGAACCGAACTCCAACTCTCCTGTTCAGGACTTGAGACCAGGCCGAGGCTGAAGCGAGGCCAGGGCCAGGGCCAGGGCCAGCTCTCACTTGACCCTGAACTTGTCATTTCATCAGAGGTAAGCACCGCGGGCTCCCCTCATGGGCCTCAAGGGGGCTTCCCCGTACCTTTCTTCTTTTCCTTCTTCGACGGCGCTTTTGGGGCGGCCTGTTGGTCAGGCTGACCATTAGTTGTACTCGTTTCTACCTCGTTAGACATGGCAAGAAGGCAGGTGGCAAACTCCAGCACCAGCAGACACGCAGTGACACCAGGCGGTCCCCGATGCAGGAGTCTCAAAGGGACATAACCGAGTGCAGACACCTGTAGGCAGTTTAGAGGCGTAATGAGATCATAAGGCAGCAAACCCAGACTTGATGCCATAACAGGCCCACAGCTAGTGGTTCGCGAGTGCAATTCTTCAGACGCATTTTGTTCTTTCCCCTCTATTAGACTGAGCTCTGGAAGCAGGGGAGTGGGCAGGAGTGTTTCCTTTGTAGTTTCCAAAATGGAAAGAAGGTGTTTACCAGATTTTTCTTTAATCAATTGGTATCTGGTAACATTTAATGATTATCTAGCTAAGTAGTTTGTGTTGGATCTTTGGCAGAAAAATCTGGCCTGAAAGATAGGGATCAAAATGTGTCACACACAGAAAAATAAGGTTTCACAGCAACAGAGAAATAAATTGAATGCTGAGCTCGAGAAAAATTGCAACTGGCACATGAAGCTGGGTATTATAAATTCTGGTTCTTTAAAAAAATCCTTCTACTGTAAAAGCAGTGTCAAGAGTCGAGTTGTGAATTTTATCATGTCAATATTTTTTAAAATGTTAGGATTCTGCATATAATCTCCAGGGCTTGTCTAAGCACTAGACTTTAAAAGATGCCCACTTTTTTGACATTAACACATATATCAGGGAGAGAATGAATTTATGGGGTGTCTGTTGTGCAATTTATTGAGTGTGAATACTTTTATACTATTATTTAGCATAAAATTACTATCGTCAACACGGCTGTGGTATGTGTTCTCATAAAGCTCCCCCAGGTATCACAGCAGGTAAAACAGAAAAGTGCAGAGTCATTGTAAGCACATGGAAGTGAACTAAAGTTTCAGAAACAGGTTCGTTCACCTCCTAGGAGTCAGTTTCTTTTCAGCTCCTGAGAGAGCTAGAGACAGATTCACTTTCTAAGTAGACTGACAACCAAAGGCAAAGAAAAGCCTCTCAGAGTTCAATATCCTGTGAAGACCACCTACGGGCTGGCGGTGCACTCTTCCACCCCAAGAAGCCTCTCAATTCTGTGCCTATAGCACCCATTTATTTGAGCTTTTTCATTCACCACATGGGAATACGTGCTATTTGTTAGATGCTCGAAGGATATAAGTTTCAAGTTTTTGCTCAATGAGCTTCAACTGCACTTGCTTGCTTCATGAATGTCCACGTCTTTTCCTGGAGCTCAGTTCTTAATCTCTGCCCCCAGGAGTTTTTAAATAGTTTTCATAGTCCTAATAGTCTTAAAAAACATATACATACATAAATGCATAGATCTATGTATGATTAATGTTATCTGAATTATTCCATTTAGAGATTTAGTAGTTAGTTTTGCTCAAAGATACCTGACTAGTAAATAGCCAGATGGAAGTCTCTGCATGTGGATGTCTTATAGAGACCTCAAAATTATTTTTACTCAAGACTTCTTTGGGGGCCAAACACTATTAGCCTTTTACCTGCATTAACTCCAAAATTTGCAGTAACCCTGAGTATTAGGAAACAGTGTCATTTCCCTTTCCCTGAGGGAAAGCCAAGGCATAGAGGTTTTAACCTACACAGATACAAATAATAGAACCTGGGTTTAGCCCAGGCTGTCTGGCCCCAAACCAGAGTTCCTCAAATGCAACGCTGATGGATCTCACCTGAGAAATCTCATACTAGTGACAGAGGTGCTCTGTTATACACCTGTAGTGGCCCCCAAAAGATATGTCCAGTTCTAACATCCAAACCTTTTCATGTGGCCTATTTGTGAAAAGGGTACTGGCAGTTGTAATTAAGGATCTTGAATTGGGATCATCCTGGATCTAGGGAGGGCCCTAAATCCCATAACACATGTCCTTAAAGAAAGGCAAAGAAAGATTTGAGACGTAGAGACACACAAAGGAGAAGGTGACAGGAAGACAGAAGTGAAGATAAGATTGATGCTCCTAAAACTCAGGAACTCCAAGGACTGCCAATGTCCACCGGAAGCTAGGAGAGAGGCACATTATGGGTTCTCTCTGAGAGCCTCCAGAACAAAACACCCTGCTGACATCTTGATTTAGGGCGTCTGGCCCCCAGGACTGTGAGAGAATAAATTTCTGTGGTTTTACACCATCTAGCTTTTGATAACTTGTTATGGCAACCCGAGGAAACTAATACAACACCTCTATTTTGTGTGCTTTGATTGGTTTCAGTGGTTCCTATGATTTGTTTCCTGATGATATGATAAATCTCCTAGTCATACCCGTACTCTGCCAATTTCAGAAAGCCAATAATCGTTTTCTTAATTTCAGAGAATTTATTCCAATCCAAGGGATATTACCCATGTTAACAACATCAGGAGGTGAGGCTGAGCTCTGATCTACGGGGACTGACATTGACATTCATCTTCCTGCATCCTGACCTTCTCCTCAGTGGGCCATTTCCAATAAGGAAAACACTTCCCATGACCCTGTAGTCCTCTGATCACCTCATGATCCTTTCATGATTAAACATCTAAAATTGATGGTCTCCTACCCTGTGCCTTTTCGTATTCCCTTCCCCTCAACTTACTGTTCATCTCAATTCTAGTCTTATAAGGTCAACTTCAACTGCTGATGGGTCTCTTGACCAAAACCAATGATTTTGCTTTTCACCATTTTGAGTGTATCTGACTGCAAGCATCAGACGCCTATACCTTTTCGTGAGCTTCTTTCCCCATACTTTTTGCTCCCATGACAACCTAGAATCTCTAGTCCATGGTGTGTTTTTGCTAATTTGGGATTATCTAGATTTCTTTCTAAATAATGAAGTTCTTCTAAATGTTAGAATAATGTTGGACTCTTTCCTGCTTAGTCTTGTGATGGCTCCCCTTGCATTTAGGACAAAGATAACAGAGTTTTTTGTTTTGTTTGTGAAACTCAAACATTTTGCCCCTCTTTCCTTCAATTCCCTTTCCTTCCACTCTTGTATACCAACTCCAGGTTCTTCATTTAATTTAGAGCACTTTTTGTTTCATGGCTCCTCACCTTTTTACATTTTCTGAGCTCCTTTGTCTCCCACAGCCTACCCATCCAGCTACCTCTTTGTCCTTGAAGCTTCCCTCCTCCCCACAGTTCTGGTTGAAAAGTAACCTGGGTGTAAGAGTTTGTTGACCATCTTTGAAGCTTGATATTGTACTGTTCTGTAGGATATTATTCTGACAAGAAATAACTGAGCCCATTTTATTGGCAAATTTTCCTCTAAAGTGAGAGTATTTTAAAGGGATTTGAATGCCACAAAGGACTTTGAGGGGCTTGGTAGAGGGAATGGCAGTGTATGGTTTAGTTATGAAAATGATAGAAGACATAACAACCTCACAACTCAAGACCAGATATTGAATCTGGTGTTGGCCAACTGGGCTGGCATGGGAGGGTTCTGGAGTGAGCAGTGCTACATTGGTTTTACAGCAAAAGCTTCTCTTTTCAGACAGTTTAGTAGAATTTTGCAAGGCACTGGAATTGTTTTAAAGGTATTTTGTGTCTTTTCCTATATCCTTTCATTGTTTGGGGATAAGTTGTTACAAGGGGCAAGGGAGAAAAAAATAGGGAGAAAAAGTTTCTTTAAATAGAAATCCCCTGAAGAATGGTATGTGTATGTTGGGTTGCAATAACTATGGGTAAGTCTCCACTGTAGGCCATCCAATTAAAATGTATCTATACTCCCTGAAATGATCAGAAAGCAGACTTTGTCCACAGGACTTAAGACTCAAAGATAACTCCTTTGTAAAGAAATGTTGAAGATCTGTTGAAAGAGTTTAACAAAAGTGTACATTCAGTTAGACATATACCAGAGTGATAAGTGTTCACCTTTGATCCAAGGTTTAAAGAGCAAATGGCCCATCACAGACTTCCTGATGCCCACGTTGGCATTTGACATGTGGTGACAGAAGTCTTGCTTCTAGACTTAAGTTCCTCAGTAGAGAATAATAAACTTAAGTCCAACATTTAAAATTCAAATGTGTAATCCTTCCAACAATATTACAGAACTGCCAATTGATTCATAAAACCTTTAACAGGTTTTATAATGAGTTGATTTTTGAAAAGGATTTGGGCCTGGAAAAGGGATCTTAGGGCCAAAAGATGCCGATTATTTCTTTTGATTACTTTCTCAAATATGGCATAGCTAATAAAACAAGTTGTTTAGATTGCATTGAGCTATTGGGTCTGTTTTAAAGCTCTCATAAGGGAAAAGACCTTGTATAAAGGGGAACAAGTGGGTACAGGACCACTAGGCAGTATACAGTCTTCTCATTCATGGGGTTTAGACCCTGGGACCCTTCTGACAAGAGCAGAACATTAATCAGGACACACACACAATGAGCGTTATCATAGGGTAGGGGTCACAAATTAAAGCTCGAAACATATACAAAGGGTTACATGAACAGCTCCCCATCTAAACCTCGCTGGTTCTAGTTCTTAGGGACTGACTGTCTCCTTCATTAGAACCTTGAGCAGAGAAATAAAAAAATACATCTGGAACCAAATGAGGATCTAAAGTTATTGTATATTCTTAACTCCTTTTTAAGGCCTGAGGTAGAACAAAACGTTGTAAATGAAACTTTGTTAAGTCAATAAAATTTGCTTCCACTTGAGCAAAGGTATCTAACTTGGATTTTGGACTTTACAAACCTCCCTGAAAGAATGTGGAGACTTCCCTTTCCCCTGGCATGAGAATCAGATGACTAGGAGATATTCTGGAGCTTGCAACATCTTTTCTGAGAAGGCTCTGAGAAATGTAAACCAGAAGACTGAGCGAGTCATCTTAACACGACTGTGTCCTTTGCACTAAAAAAAAAAATCTGCTCATCAGCTACAGTTTGTTTAGCCCTTAAAGTTATGCATGTAAGGCATCTAGTAATTTGAACCCTGGAATGCTCGGCCTAGGACAAATTTGTGTAGAGGCGAACTTGGCCAGCAGCCTTCTCATCCCCGCTTATCTTTTCCATCCATAGGAATATATTGGTATCAGCAATGATACTAATTGATAATTCCAGACTCAAAAGCAATATCCTGACACCAGTCTGCCACCTTCCACCCAGTCTTCCTTCTAACCCTATTATAGAGAGCAGAGGAGAAACTGCTTGGTCGGTCTCAAAATGCTGGCAAAAGGAGTAACTTGAGGACTCATTTAATGGTAGACCCATTCCACAAATGGTAGAGAATCTGTTTTTAATGTTAAGGGGAATGAAACAAGCACCTAACCTACCGAACATTTAAAACATTTATCCTGACAGCTCTATGAAATAGAACGTGTCTCTACTTTATGAATAATGAAACGGACTTGGTAACACAAGGTCAACTGCTAATAAGTCGCTGGGCTCAAAATTGAATGTGGTCTGTGTGCCTTTTTCTATTATACACGCTGTTACTCATTACTTTTTTTAAAGCTCACTGATGTTAACCTGTATTTTATAAGCTGCTTTCAAAGTTACAATCCCATTGACTTTCAGATACCAGTCAACTTTTCAGGAAGAGCCGCATAAATAGGCACAGTTAAGGGAGTTAAGGAGAATCCAGAACAAAGGAGCATAAACATCTTTACCAAGAGTGTCCAGTACTTTGTACGGGTCAGAGAATGCGTTTCCTTGGCCTTTAGAACTTTACACCTGTCTCAGCTGAGGTACTGCATCAGGGCATGTGAAATATTAACCTCTAAGGCAGGTCTCAGGGTCCAAGAGGGCAGCGCACGGCCTTCACCACTCTTTTCAAGCCGCCTTTTGAGAATCAGGAGACAACTTAACTCATATTTATTTCTTCACCTGTAAAATGGGAATATAGTTGGCAGAGTTGTGAGAAATCAATAAGAACTTATGCAGACACATCAGTCTAGAAATGATGTGGTGAACTTAGGTTGTTTCTGCAAGCTGATGTAACACCTCTTTCCCTTAGCTACTTAGATTCTTATGCTTTTAGGAAGGCTCACCCCGCTCTGCAAAGGCCAATTTGAGCAGACAGTAATATCTGTGCAGCCTCTTTAATGGGGGAGAAGAGGCGATGTAAATGCACAATGAAAAGGAGTCCTTAGAAGGTTTTCCTTGTAAATGCTGACACAGCTTACGGGCCTCAGTAACAAAACATGCCTGAGTCAGGGAGGTATACACAAGTTAGGCATTTACAGAGAGCATGTACCATTGCTTTTAACCCTTGGAGGGATGCTGCAGAACCTAGAGGACACATAGAGCCCAGAACCAAGAAGCTTTTCCCTATCTTTGGGACTAAGTCAGACCAGATTTATGAGTTCTCTCTACAGTTAATTGTGCGTAGAGGTGAGAGAGCATAGCAGCTAAGAGTTCAGGCTTGGGAATCTCAGACACCTTCACCATCTTTTAGCACTGTGGCTGAGACAACTTAACTCATATTTATTCCTTCACCTGATAAATGGGAATATAGTTGGCAGAGTTGTTGTGAGAAATCAATAAGAACTTATGGAGAGACATCAGTACTTTGCATATAGAAAGTGCTCAACAAATGGTAGCTGTGATGAAATCAAAGCTAGGCCGCATAGATGATGTGTGTTGTGTAGTCATATGCCACAACCAACATTACTTTTCCACAGCAAGTGTTTAAACAGTTGCAGAACAACTGGGACCAATAGTGAGGAGCTAGTAAATAGAAACATGGAGGGACGTAGTGCTTTAGTTAGTGAGGCCCCGGTGAAAAAGTGAGAGCGTTCGCCAATGTTGGGGTCACCTCCTGTTCAACACTGGCTTCCGAGCCTACAGGAGGCAGGTTGTGATGGAAACAGGGCTCTGGGAACAAAATCTGCTCTAAGTTATCCAGAGAAGTCTGTTCTCATGGCTCCTGAGTCAAATCTAAGCCATATCTGGTTACTACTGGCAGTTTAGAAGGTCTAACTCATATCACTTGGGGAAATTTTACTGGAGGGCTCTTAAAATGTCAATGTCCTTACCACACCCAAATCGATTAAATCAGAATCTCTGGGGAAGGGACGCAGGCATCAATATATTTTTAAGATTCCCAGATGATTCTAGTGTACTGACAAGTGTGAGGTCCAATGGTCTACTTCCACAATCCTTTGTCCCCTTAAAGAAAGAGCAAGTGGGTTAGACTATTGAGCTGAAAGAAACCTAGGGAATAATTTGGTTGCACCCCTTCATGATAAACATTAGGAAACTGAGGACTAGAAAGAGTGTATAACTTGTTTAATTGTTACATAGCTGATTGGGGATAGAGTTGGTACCAAGAGAAATCTAGATCTTAACATGAGACTCTACTGTCTTATTCCTAGAGATTATGTGTTGGTTTTTTTGTTTCGTTAAAAAACGCAACACTATATTTTAAGAAGGCTGTACAAAGCCCATTACATAGTGACTGGACTTCCATTTAGTAGATATACTGAGGAAGGAACAAGAAAATAGCTTAGCAGAATAGTCTGAAAAGGAATTTCACAGATGTTTTCTGAACCAAAACAGAAAAAGGATTTCATGTGGTCTAATTATACATCATTGCTGGATTCTTTCTTGCCTAGGTCGCTGGAGTCCTACTTGGTCAAACTGGCTCATTAATGTTGATTTGGCTGCGGGGAAGAAAGTATTTGGCTGGGTTTGAGATGCAACTTGCAGATCAAAGAATTCAAATTTATTTCAGTACATTCTCTACTATTCAGTGTTTGGTCTTTTAGGGTTTGTTTATTTTTTGTTTTTTTTTTAAAAGCATGATAGGAAGTTTGAGTTCTTATGTTGGCATAAATTCTTATTCTTGAGTCATTATGACCTGTCCTAATTTTGTACCCACCCGCACCCATTTTATTTTTAAAATAAGTTTTTATGAAGACTATCTCCTACTAGACTTAAAAAATAGTCATCATAATAAAGAGTGTTTAGGAGAGTTTAAGCTTTAAAAATGAGCTTAATGCAATCCAAATGAAAGTCCATTCTCTAGACTGGACAATGCAACCAATTCACTAGCAATGTGTAAAAACTGTTCACAAATGAACTGGCATATTAGGTTTATAGTCAACTTTACAATTGTATCACTCAGTTGTTTTAGCACAATGACAACTTTGAGCACTTAACTCTACTAGGGTTAGAAACAGTAGGAACTATAGATTCATAACGAGAGCTTGCTTCAGCCTCTTGGGAAAATAGGGCACAAGACAATATGCTTGTATGAGCAAAGACATGCAGAAGGGGCTGAATCTAGAACCCTTCCTTCTGTTTCTTCAGACTGTATAGTGCTAGAATATCCCTGAGGCCCTTTGGCAATGTGAAATTTTTGTGAAGATTGACACATGAGGCTTGTGGTTGGATTAACTAAAATTAGAGAGTATACCCACCTCAACTTTAAGACTCCAGCCAATCATTCATTTCACCCCAGTTCTTGAGTGTGATCTTTTCTAGCTTAAACAGAACAGGATAAATGAAATACAACTTTATCTTTTAAGTAATTTCAACAAAAAGAAGGAACACTGAAGTTTTGGAGGTTCAAAAGTCATGTTTCCATCATTACTTTACATTGATGGCATTGGATCACCTGAGCTCTGCTCCGACATGGTTCCCCTGACACCAGGGACCATCTGGACATGGCTCAACCAGGCTATGGCACGTGTGCTCTGTGTATCTCAAGTGAGCTGGGCAGGACAGTAAACTAGGTATAACTTGACCTGAAAAAGGGAATGGGGGGTTCTGGTCTAGTGCACAGTATGCTTCAACCCAGATTCACCAGAGCTCTGCATTCTGCATTCGGGGGTTATTGGTCCCTGATCCTCCTGATGATGTAGTAGTTGCTTTCTTACCTACTGTTGTCTCTTTTGTACTTGTCATATGGGAAAGAGATTGTCAAGGTAATGACTGCATCCTTGAGTTCAAGGTCATAATATAAGCACATGCCCATCAGCTGCTCCTCTTTCTATTAGACAGATATGGAGTCACCTATGGAAGGAGCCATGAGTGATTCCCATTAATTCTGTGGAAAGGTAATTAGGAGTCCACTGCTTTGGGAGAAAGGATAATATGGTTTTGGGGGTGGGAGGGGTTTGACAAAGGCTACTCTTCTCCATATATCTTGGGCTTTAGGCTCAAAGGAGCTGGCAACCTGGTGAGTATGTTTGTATAGCAAGCTAGGGCATTTCTGGGAAATGGCCATGGGTTGAAGTGGTCCGACACAGGGTGGAGGGGTGCAGGAGAGGGAAAAGTCCTTATGGCTGGAGAATGGGTAGAAGGTAAGAAGTCTAGACTAAAAACCTAGGCTCCACTGCTAGGGTTCCCATCTCACCCTGCCCAGAAGATACCTTGGCAATTTGGGTTTCCTCTGCACAGTGGCTAGTGGGTGGTATGTGCGAGCACACTGAAAGAGCTGTGTGACAAGAAGGTTGTAGGGACATGGCAGGACTCTGCTAACATCCTGCCCCTTCCCAGACCCTCCGGCAGGACCAGCGATGGCAGTGCTGTTCCAGTGATCGGAGCACTTGCTTCAGTGGACAACACTCATCGTGTCTTAGTGGCAGCACAACAGTCTACACTGGGTAGCTCTCACAGGCGGGGACACACCATGCTGCAGTGACAAGAACAGAAGGGGGCCCTCAGAGGATCTGATGTTTCTAATTACGAAGTGATGGTAAATAAGGGTATACCAAAAAAGTATGTAAAAGGAAGATTTTAAAAAGCTATAGTGCTCATAGGTAACTGGGTTGAGCACCTGGAAATTAAAAGTTGAATTTAGAAGAGCTCTGTTTTGTACAATTAGATGGTAAAGTAGGGTACTAGACTTCATTCTGCTTCACTCTCATCCTATATCCAAGGAGAGAGAGTGTTCTAAAGAATGAGAAATTTACATGAACAATTTTAGGGTTTTAAATGTTTAAAAAATGCTACTGCTACCATGTAGCCTCTAGAAATTTTCTATTGCAAGGCCTTTGAGGCAGTGATTTGAGGAGAAGCCTTATGAAACTAGTACAGAAACACAGTAAACACATGATTATTACTTTGAATTTGGCATTTAAATGTACAATGGATATTACGCTTGATTCTTGTGGAAAAGGTAGTCAAAAGCTAAGAGGTCAAGGTGAGGGAAAGTAACTGTCAATGTACTGATTGATTCCTAGGCCAATACGCTGGCACTATTCACCCCCCTTTTAACCCCTCTCATATCTATGTCTGCTTACCCATACTGACCTGCAAATATCTCATTGTTTTTGTGTCTATCCTTTCTCAGTTAGGGTAGATAACTCTACCAAAACTAAGTCCTCTAACCTAGTTCTAAGCTAGTTATTAAATAAAGCCTATACATGAGTCTCCGGAGTTTGTTCTTGGAACACACATCAAGTTGTGCTCCCTTCTTCCCAAATGAAACAATCCCGAGTGCAGTCAACAGGGATGTGCGCTTCAGGATACAACGGTTTATTCACCCGAGTCTCTGTGATTTCACCCACGATGCTTATACACTAAACCTGTCCAACGTGGTCTTCTTTATTTAAGTGCCATTAACATAGTCATCCTGAAGATCTATGTGGACGGTGGAAGACTTTAAAAAGCATGTTATCTGGAAGCATCTGCATTTGAAACATTAAGCTACAAACACTAATAGAATTATTTTATGATATAACCATATCAGGGCACTTTAAAAGCAGGCAGGTAATCTTAAACTTTTCCCTTTCCAAAAAC